TTTTTTTTTTTTTTTTTTTTTTTATTCTGAGATAGGCTGTCACTAAGTTGCCTAGGCTGGGCTTGAATTTTCAATTCTTTTGTCTCAGTTTCCCACAGTGCTAGAATTGTGGGTATGTGCCTCCACACCTATTTCCTAGCCTTTTTATTTTTGTATATTCTTGTAACAATTGTAAGTGGACCCAAATGCTTTATTAAGATTGGTAGAATTTGGGTTGATTTTACAACATCTGATAATTCCTGCTGCACTGATGTGTATATATATTGAAAAAGGATTTGAACCTTGACAAAAGAGTTTTCTTTCTCTGAAAAAGGAGTACAATGGGGAGAAAAAGGAGGTAGATATAGAAAAAGAGGGAAGTAGAAAATTGTTGGGCTGGGGATATGGCTCAGTGGAATAAGTGCTTGCCTGGCAAGCTCAGGGGCCTGAGTTCAATCCCTAGCTCCGGAAGGAAAAAAAAAAAAAAAGGACAAGGTCTTTTCCTGGGGCTGGGGAGATGGCTCAACACAAAAAGAGAAAGAAAGAAGGAAGGAAGGAAGGAAGGAAGGAAGGAAGGAAGGAAGGAAGGAAAGAAAGAAAAAAGGAAAAAGAGAAAGAGAAAAAAAGATTGTTTAAATGGCCTCAATTTTCCCCCATTACATTCAATGACCTACTAGTCAAAATTCTGTCTTTTCATTTAATGAAAAACTTTTTTTTTTTTTTTTTGCTCTCTGTATCCCTAAATACACTAAAATTTCCAATTGTGAAATCATCAGTTATGCCCATTTTCCTCTAGTTCAAAAATCAATGCTAAGGGTGACCAGATAGCTCAGCGGATTAAAGCACTGCTTAGGCAGATGCAAGGACCCAGAGTATCCTGTCAGCCCTGTCCCTGGGGAGCACTGAGCCTGTGACTGCAAATGGGTGTGGTGGTGTATGCCTGTAATCCCAGTGCTTTGGAGATTGAAAACAGGAGGATCACTATGAGTTGGATCTATGCAGTGAGACCTTGTAGATCCTGTACTAAATACATTAAAAAAAAGCTAAACTGTTTCCTAAAATGGTTATACCAATTTACATCCCACTAGTAGTATGTTACTGCTGTATTATTTCCTTACAATAAACTATTTAACTCCTCCGTAGTTTACACCTTTCTCTAGACACTGTAATGAAATTAGTATTACTACAGTTCTCTGCTAAAAAAAACCTTTAAAAATTCTTTATTGTCCACTGACTTACAAACCAGACTTTTAACTCCTCCACAATCTTTTCCAACCTACTTATCAGACTTACACTGCATTCCTCTATGAACCTGTTTTAGTTCAACTGGCTTACAGTTCACTGTATTTTTACTGTAGGTATTCTAGTTTCTTCCTCCTCACCTCTATTTTCTTCTCAAAAGACCAGTTTTGATTCCTACTCCTGTGAATTACTATTGCAGTCTATATTGGTATATTATCTTTTGGACTTACTATTTTTTATCTGTACAAGAATTATTAAGCACATATTATATACAACATCTTCTGTAAAGCTTTTAAATCATAATTTTAAACTTTTCTAATGATAGTATAGGGCAGGCAAGTAATTGCATTACAATGTAACAGTGTAAATTGTAAAATTAGTGTATATTCACGAATATATCTGTTTGATTTTAAAGTCTGTTCTTTATCCATTATGCCACTCTATCACTTACATTTTATGATCAATTAATATCAATTAATCATTTAATTTACATACTAACTCTGTTCTACAAAGGGAATTGAGGCACTTAAGTATATAGTGAAATGTATTAATATCATACTTTATCCCTAAAAATGGTACCTTGTACCAAAGATGAGTTAAATATAAGAAGACATGGACAACTAAGGAAAAAATATTAAGCAACAAAATATGTAAACCACAAAAGTTAGCATATACCTTAGACAGTGCACTAAATTTGACAGTTTCATTTAATTCAATGTCAGAAAGTTAGAAACTCTCAAGTACCTCACAGCACCCAAGACTTTCTTATTACTATGCTGAAAACAGAATTTCCTATGAAACTGTTATTCACAAATCAGTCAATTGCTGCACACAAAGCGTTAAGGGTCTGATTTATTTTCTGTACTATTTAACTAAAGGTTTCATTTGTTGAATGAATAAATTTATCAATCTTAATAAACAAAGAGAAAATAGCCACTGAAGAGGATTTTTTTTTCAAATCAAATTGGTAGGACAGTTTCAATAATTCACACATTACATAAATTCTTCCTAGTGGTTAATTGGTATACAAGATGCAGACATGATATCCTATTTACAAACACCATTAGAACAAATCGCTCTATTCATTAAGAGAATGTAACTATATATCTATCCTAACCACTTTGAATACACAGATACAAAATGGACATTCATCTGTATGCCCTTTTGTTAAGTTCCGTTATTTGAATATTATAGGTGTGTAAACTCAGTAAAATATTCTAGAAGAGTCCAGTCGCCCATTATAGTATTCGGTCTTCCTCTTGACTGGCAATGTCAGAAACTGTTGACCTGAGTCTCCTATAGCTCAACATAACAGCATGGCTTTACTTCTTCTATTTCATTTTTATACTTTTCTGCTGGATGGTTAAGACCAAGGTAAAGCATGACTTATGCAACAAGAGTTGTAGCTTTTGGGTCTGATAAGGTCAGTGAAATCCCCTCAGGATTTATCCTGAGATCCTGTACCTCAGATTGTAGAACCTTTGTCAGTGTCAGCCATGTGGATGAGTCACGGCCATTGCTTGGCCAATGTGCTCTGAAGAGGATGTTTAATTGGTGGAATTACTGAATTTATTAGCCTTCTTGGTAAATGAAAAGGTCATGTCCACCAAAGAGAGTAAGAAGATGATAATCAGGCTTTTGGGGGTGAGAACCAGGCTTTCAGAATTTGTAATAGCAATAGTAGAAATTTCTCAAATTCAGAAAAGGTAAATCAAAAGAGCATTAAGTAGAAATGGGAATACAGCAAAAATTACACAGTACGGATTACGTGATAAGAACATTAACACTACATTAAGAAGTATTTTCTAGGGCTGAGGCGATAGCTTGGTGGTATAAGCACCTGCCTGGCAAGCATAAGAACCCAGGTTCAATCCCTGGTGTCTCATGCCCCACCAGCCCCACCATGCTGGCCACTGAAACTGAAACATGGTGCGCACACCTGTAATCGCAGCACTTGGGAGGCTGAGACAGTAGGATCACTACAAGTCCGAGCTGCTTAGCGAGACTCTGTATCAAACAAATAAAAGATTTTTTAAAAAATTAAAAAACATGGACTCTTTTAGAATATCTTGTTGAGTTAACACACCTATAATATTCAAATGACAGAACTAAACAAAAAAGGGGATACAGATGAATGTCCATTTTGTATCAGTGTATTCAAAATGGTTAGGATATATAGTTACATTCTCTTAATGAATAGTGTGATTTGTTCTAATGGTGTTTGTAGATAGGATATCATGTCTGCATCTTGTACAGCAATTAACCACTGGGAGGAATGTATGCAATGTGTTAATTATTGAAACTGTCCTACCAATTTGATGTGAAACTGTCTCATTGCTATTTGTTTCTCAATAAAATTATGGAAAAAAAATTAAAAAACAAAAATATTTTCTAACCATGCATGTTGGTTCAGGATACAACAGAAGAAGATATACAATGGTACTCTTTTTCAGTAAAAGGCTAACTTGCAAATATTGTGGGTTTATGTAGGGTTTATGTCACATATTATTTTTCTTTTTTAAAAATAGTATTTTAAAAACAAAAAGACCAATGTAAATACCATTCTTTGCTTGTGGAATTTAGAAAAAGAAAAGACCAAAATCAGGATAAAATTCTAACTTAGAATACTTAGCCTAAAGTCTGCTATAACACTTTCATAACTCAAGGTCTCCATTTCTGCAGTTTCCTTAGGTTAGTCTTTCATTATTTCTCAGTTTAATCATCATTCAAAGTCCAACATCGATTTTTTTTTTTTTTTTTTGTAATACTGGGGACCACATGCAGTAATCTACATAAGCGCTCTGACAGAGACACATCCCAAGCCCTCAAATGTCATTTCTTAACATACATCCCTTAAAATTCACCCAGAGATCAGAATCACTTTTTTTAGTCTATTTTTCATTATCTCCCTCAGAAGTCTTCATCCTGCTGAATATTATGGTAATCCTTTACAGGTCTCTTTGTAGCCCCCATGATGTTCAGTATCTAAGAGAAAACAGACCTTATTTTCTTGTCGTTCCCTCTCCACACCAATGCCCAAGGAGGCCTAAAAAAACCAACTGCTCCTTGAACATTCACCAGTGTATGAAAGTCACACTTTCTAATGTATCTCTGTAGAATAATGACTAACATCCTAAAACTTCTACTTTATACAATCATAATTTCTTACTTTTAAAAAAAGTTTTCAGTTTAACATCACTGTAATTTTAAGACAGTTTTTTATTTTACATGCCTTGTGTTCATGAGCTGTACAATTATCTGCTCCATTGTATTCTGTAAGCTGTTCTCTTCTTTTTTCTTGAATAAGAATTTTATGAACATCATCTTCCAATCTATTGAAGAAACCGCCATCATGTGATAATGTCTGAGAAAATTCCTGTCAAAAGCAAATTATGATTAATACTCAACATAAAAATGTATGAATTTATCAAACCTAGTCAGCCACTGGAAAGGCAAAGAATAAAATACAATAGCTAAGAGGGAACCATTTGATCTTACTCTGTATCTAGAAGATACACAGTAGAGACACATATACAGATGCCCTTTCCTTTTTCATATATTCTAGGACTGCTTGATTTTTAAACTTTTGTCATTCATATACTATACAACTCACATACATAATCTGTACAAACCAATAATTTTTGTATATATTTAGTTGTACAATCATTACCACTACCAATTTAGTATTTCTGTCACTCCAAAATATACTCCTCAACAATCACTTCCCATTTCCTCTCAACACCTCTGCCAGTCCTAGGCAACACTGATCTACTTTCTATTTGAAAAGTTTGCCTTTTCTGAACATTTCATGCAAGTGGAATAATTTGATATAATTTGATTTTTTTCTTACTAGCTTCTCTAGCTTAGCAAGGCATTTTCTAGGTTCATCCATGTTATGGCATGCATCAGTATTTCATCCTTTTTTCTGCTATGTAATAGCCCATTCTATTTTTTCAATTTCTCTATTACTGGTTGATGGGCATTTATGTTGTTTCTACTTTTTGGTTATCATGAATAATGCTGCTCTTAACAGTCATTCAGGACCCAGTCCTAGCTCAGGCCCGGGACTTAAAGTTCAACATATCAATATTTGATGAAAAATACCAGTTCCATATTATGCCTAACATGTTTGATATGCAGACAGATAGTGAGGTTAAGCTTAACAGCCTCAGTTGTATGGTAAAAACAATAAGCTTGTCTTCTGGATGGGTAACAACCTAAGTTTGCAGACCAAAATTAGATGAAAAGGAGGGCTGCAAGGAAAGCCAACATTTTGGCCCTAGCCTTCCAAGGTCAATTAAGACTCAGGACATATAAGAACTTGTACTGTAATGTCATGTAACTCGGTAGTGTTCCAAATTTTCTGATCAAGGAGATTATAGGGCCAAAGAGGAAAGTGATCGATGATGTAGAGTATGCCTAAGGAGAGTCACATGGAGAGAAAACATTCTCTCAGGCTTTCACAGAGAGCACATTGGCCAAGCAATGGCCATGACTCATCCACATGGCTGACACTGACAAATAATCTGAGGTAAAGGATCTCAGGATAAATCCTGAGGGGATTTCACTGACCTTATCAGACCCAAAAGCTACAACTCTTGTTGCATAGGTCCTGCTTTATCTTGGTCTTAACCATCCAGCAGAAAAGTATAAAAATGAAATATAAGAAGTAAAGCCATGCTGTTATGTTGAGCTGTAGGGGACTCAGGTCAACAATTTCTGACATTGCCAGTCAAGCGGAAGACCCAATACTATTATGGACTACTGAACTTATTTTGGTGAGTTAACACACCTATAATATTCAAATAACGGAACTTAACAAAAAAAGGGTATACAGATGAATGTCCATTTTGTATCTGTGTATTCAAAGTGGTTAGGATAGATATACAGTTACATTCTCTTAATGAATAGTGTAACTTGTTCTAATGGTGTTTGTAGATAGGATATCATGTCTGCATCTTGTACAGCAATTAACCACTGGGAGGAATGTATGCAATGTGTTAATTATTGAAACTGTCCTATCAATTTGATTTGAAACTGTCTCATTGCTATTTGTTTCTCAATAAAATTATGGAAAAAAATTTAAAAAACCACACAAATATTGCAAAAAAAAAAAAAAAAAAAAAAAAAAGAAAAAAAGAAAGAAAGAAAGACCCAAGCTAAATCGGGTCAGCATAGTTCTGGGTATGGCTGAAGGGACTTGCTGACAACAGAAGATCCACCCCAGGTGTGAGTGACAGCAGCCAATAGGCTTGTCGCCTGAAGAAAATAAAAGGGAAACAAAGAAGGAAGCTGGCTTCTGTTCCTTCAGAGGAGCTCTACTCTTCACCTTCACCTCAGACACAGTCTCCTGGCTTCCAGTGCAGACCCTTCCACCTCTCCACATAGACTTGCTTGGGACACTACAGTGAGCTCCAGGCCTTTGACTGAATCCTTCAGATCTCAGCACACAGATGGCCGGTTTGTACCTTTCCACACTTGACTCATAGGTGGCCATTGTAAGCTTACTTTGTAAATCCTTATGTACCTGTATGTCTTGCATTAAATCTGTTTCTCTTGTGGAAAAAAAAATTACAATGAATGTTTAAAATGTTTAAATCATTACAGCAAATTATATTGCCACTAGTACCTCAACATGTTGTCCCTTATTTCAAACACATATATCCCATCTTTCTTGCTCTTTTTTGAAGCAGTTCTGAACTTTTTTTTTTTTTTATGAGTGACTTTAACTGTGCTCTCCTGGCTGCCTTGGTTTCCTGAATTGATTCAAAACGTTTAACCTATTTGTCACTTAAACTTAAATGAAGAGTCAGAAGTTTTATTGTGCTAGGTCTAGTGAATTAAGTGGACAAGGGCACAACACACTTTTAGGAACCTGCCTTTCTGTGGAATACCAATTGGCAGCAGGATTCACCATGGGTTTTTTTAAGACAACTCATAAAGACATTCATGACAGAGTACTTCCAGAACTGCTTCAGAAAGTGGCAAGAATGATGGGAAAACCGTGTTCTAAGAAAGTGGGAATATATCTCAGGGAGAATAATTGTAGTGTGTATTCTACTATAATTATTTTTTTTAATTAACCATTCACCATGATTTTACATCATACGTTGTACACTTTGAAGCTAATTTCTCAATTTTGTAAAAGCTAAGTCTAGTGTATTTTGCTATTATATTAAATATTTTATTAGGTAGCAAAAAAAACCAGTCATGCATATGATTTTATGTGGATATATTTTCTATTCTGATGGGTATATATTTAAGAGTAGAGTCTCTGGGTCATATAGTAACTTTTAGTTTTTTTTGACATACTGCCAGGTAGCTTTCTGAAACTTCCCACCTTTTAACAATCCTACCAACAGCACAAGTGCATTTTAATTTCTCCATATTCTCATCAACATTAGCTTTCATATCTTTTTTATTATACCCATACTGATAGCTGAGAAATGGTATCTCATTGTGGTCTTGAGTGACATTTCCCTAACAGCCAATAGAGTTAAGCATATTTTCATGCATTTTATTTGCACTATCTTTTCAAAAAAAATCTATATAAATTCTATTTTTAAGATACTGGGGAGTGAGCCTGGGGCCTCACACATGCCAGGCAAGCATTCCAAAACTGAGCTATATCCACAGCCTTCTTAATTTTTAAAAAATTAAGTTTACTGGTATATTTTAACATAATTATATTCATCATAATGAATTTGTACTTGTACATGATATATTTTGATTTTCCCAACTCCCTTTCCTTCCTTCAACCCCTTTCCCCCTATCATGAATAATAGGTTCATCCAGGTTCATCCCCATTCTTCATCTTCCTATTAACAAAGCTTTGTTTCTATTTTATCTTTTTTCTTAGTCTTTTATTTTCTTTTCTCTTCCTTAACTCTTCCCCTTCACCCACCCTAGTTGCTCTTCCCTTTCACCCTTTTTTTAAGAAAGATTTCACTAAATTACATAGACCAACCTTGAATTTGTGATTCTCCTGCCTCATCTTCCTGATTGGCTGAGATGACAAGCATGTATCACCAGGCCAGCCTTTGCCCATTTTTAAATTGGGCTACATGCATTTGTACTTCTGAGTTATAAGAATTCTTTATGTATACTAAATAAACATATATGACCTGCAAATATGTCTATTTTGTGGGCTGTTTTGCAAAAATCTCATGTTGTGCCCTTGTTCATCATGAAAGATTCTAAATTTCGATTTAGTCCAGTTTATCCAAGAAACCACTGCCTAACTCTAGGCACAAAAACTAATTTTAAAAAAAAATCTACCCCAGCATTTTCTTCTAAGAGTTTCACAGCATTAGTTCTTTTATTTAATATAATTCTCAACTCAACATACATACATACACGCACACGCATGCAAACACACAGAATGTGGTGTTGGGAGACTCAGGGTTCCCTACATGCAAGGCAAGCATTCTCTACCACTGAGCTAAGGGCTGCCTCCCCCAGATCCTCTTGAGACAAGGGGTGCCCTGACTGGTCTCTAACTCCCTGGCTCAAGCAATCCTCCCATCTCAGGCGCTTGATTAGCTGGGACTACAGGAACATGACACCATGCTTGGCTTTAGCTCTTGTATTTAGTTCTGGGGTCCACTTAAAGTTGGTGCTATTTATGTGTGGTATGGGGGAGTGCAACTCCCATTCTTTGCATGTAGATATTCAGTATTATTTGTTGAGAAAACTTTTCTCCATTGAATTCTCTCAGTATCCTTGTCCAAAATTAACTGAATACAAATTATCAGGGTTTCCTTCTGGACTTTTAATTCCATCAAAACATACATCATTCTTCTGCCAGCACCACAATTCTTGTGCACTATACTTTTTATTGCTCAAACATTCACAGTCCACTTAAAAATAATTTTTACATAAATTCTACATACAATGGAATAGTTTACAGAAACAAGATTTTAAAGAAATGAGATTTTTTAAATCATATAAAACTAGACATTTTATACATTCTTCAATAAAAAGAATTTCTCCTCCAATTTACTATTTTGAATACAGACTGTAGAAAATATTTCTCTCACTTTCACTTGTGTCCCATATTCTTAGGCTATAATATAATTTTACCTATTTCATTTTTTTAAAAAAAATCAGTCTTGCTTTGTAGTTCAGGCTGGCCTTAAACTTGCAGCAGTCTTCCTGCCTCAGCCTTCCCAGGGCTGGGATTACAAGCATACACTATCATTTCAATGGTATTTTTAAAAAACTAACATAACAGTTCTGTAACTATTCATCCTTCCCCCTTTGTATTATCTTAGAGTTTGTGAAAAAAAATTGTTAGTGCTTAATATTCAAATGAAATTTCAAATGTTTGTGTGGTAGTTCATATTTTGCAAAGCACTTAAACAGAATTTAAATCTC